GGTGTGAATGTGTGTCTTCTCTTTATCTACACGTACATCCGCACCATTAAATAAACATGCTTATGGGTTACTTACGGTTCTATTATATCAGTCGTTCTATTGACAAATCTAATGCAATAGTGTTATGTTGTTGTCTGTTTATATACTAGTGATAACGTTAGAATTGAGAATATGTTTAGTTTTACTTTTTATGAATTAATCGAGCAATTATTAGAAAAGAGAACATGACAAGAGTGTAACCAGAAAGAGAAGAAAATAGAATATGTGAATGGAAAGAATTAAAGCAAAGGCAAAAAATATTATTGTCAGGTATTTGACCATCATTCTTTTCGTTTTCTCTCTTATGTGAAACAGTTACTAAAACTAGTCTTCGATAGAACACAAGTATGAATGATTCAATCATTCATTATCAAGAGAAAAAATAAGTTTAAATAAAATTTCAAGCACTTGTATTATGGGCGAATAGAAATATAGAAATATTTTATTGTACATAATACGAATAAAAAAAAACATACTGGTATTATACAGAAAGGTTGTAACTATTATTTTGTTATTCGCCAGCTATATTTATTGCTTTCGTCAATTATTTCTTTATTGCTTGATCACATTTAAGTAGCATGATGAGGATGAACGTTCCACAAACCTAGAAAAAATTCATGTACAAAAAAAATTTGTGCAAAATGTTGCAAGAACTTCTTTGTCTTTGATGTACGTAGTGTATAATTCATCTTTATTTTGATGAGCTATAATATTTAATATAAATGCATAGTTAAGAAAAAAAAAGTAAAAAAAAAACAATCTCCACCGTACTTTGATCAAATGAGTTCAGTTTTTTTTTGTCGTAATGAAAAAAGGAGAGTTTCAAGTTTTTATTCATGAACAAAAAAATTTAGTAACATCGCTAAGAATTAGATATGAACAAGATGGCTCTAGTATCGGCGGAACCGAGATTGGAATCAAAAACTATTGGTTTGACCTATGCCTACTTCGAACTATTATTGCGTAGTTAAAAGAAAAAAATTGATACTTTCTGAGAATTCAATAAAACGAACTTTAATGACAATATTGGACTCAAAGTATCAAAAAATATTCAATCATTCTGAAGAAATTTGACTCTTTTTAGTATTTTGACCGTAGCATTTTTGATTTGTTGATGGAAACAGGTAGATATTTTTTACTGAAATGATTAGCAGAAAAAGTTCTACAAAATTGGATATATCAAAATAAAAAATCCCAGATCTTTGCATTTCTTGTGACTGGTGTAGGGTGTGTGAGTGTGTATTCATTATCTTCATTAAAATAAATCAGATTAGAGATAATGCAAGAGATCTTAAACATCGTGATCGTGAAGTATCTATTTCATATACTTATGCAGATACAGTTAATATAAATACAACAGTAGAATTTTATGAATCACAGACTGCAAAAACAATCTGTTGGTTATTTAATAAACAAAGTACTAAGATACACTCTCATATATCATCTTGGTGAGGAGAAGAAGAACATTCAAAATGTATAAATAATCAGTAAACAACTACGATATTAGAAATGTGGAAGTTTGTCAACGCAAGTTTTACAAAAAAAGCCCAAAACGTCAATGCTTTGTTAAATACATAATGATTTTTTTAATTTGTTTTAAGTTTTCGAAGAATTTCAATTACTTTATCGAGTGTTTGATCTTTCTAAAAGAAAAAAAAGAAAAAATTCATATAAATTATTTCATTGTAATTTACTTTAGCAAAGCAAAATCGAATATAATTTTCAGCTAAATGACGATGATCAGTTATATAACAATCTGTTACAAGAATAGTAGCAAGTTGCTAAAATAAAGAAAAAAAAGAAGCATTTTCAATTATTTCCACATAAATTGATTACTTTTTCTTCGATTAAATATCGAACAAATTTAATATCTTTCACTTCATCAGCATCCAATTGAAATTCGCCACTAGCTATTTAATATAAAACAAAAAAAAACCCATATAATAAAAAGAAAAATAAATTATTTTTAAACAAACCAAATTGACTATAATCCACAAGAATAAAATATCCACCATCAGGTATAACAGATTTCATTCCACATTCTTTTAAAGCTTGAACAAGTTTATCACATTTTTTAAGAAATTCATTTGATATTGAATTAAAATAACATTCAGAAGAATTAATACGTTTTAATTCATATTCAAAACAACGTGCAACAACTTCTTGTGATATTGTTGGACATGTATGAACACAATTTTAAAAACAAAAAAACAAATTTTTTATTTTTTCTACTTAATAGATCAAATTATTTGATGAACAACTTGACATAAATGCATAAGATGTTGTGATCCCATAATCCAACCTAATTTTAAACCAGCTGATGAAAATGTTTTTCCTGCACTACCGATTGTTAATGTTCGCTGCCAGGTATTCGATAATGTTGCTATACGTATATGTTTTTTATTTTCATCATATACTAACCATTCATAAACTTCATCGGATATACAAATAACATTATGTTTTTGACATAAATTTGCTATATGTTCAAGTTCATCACGTGCAAAAACCTTTGATATTTTTTTATTGTTAATTAAAAATAAAATTTTATTTTGTATTATAAAGATGAAAGAAAAAAATATATATATATACTTTTCCAACTGGATTATTTGGTGTATTGACAATAATAAGACGAGTACGAGAATTAAACATTGATTCTAATTCATTTTTATCAAGTATCTAATCGGAACTTGATGAAATATCAGCTTTGATTGATTCAGGTTTCTAAATATAATTAAGAAAAAAAAAATTTTTTTTTCAAAAATTAATTAACAATTAAAAATAAAAATAATGCAACATACCGGTTTAAGTGCTATACATCGTGGAATACCAGAAGCTGAACGAACCATTGGTTCATAACAAACAAAAAATGGCTCTATTAGAATAACCTAGAGACGTTTATAAGTTTCAGAACAACATTGTAGAAATGATGAAAAATATTTTACTTCATCATCAGGATTAATAAAACTATGAATACAATTGAAAAGTGATTGATAAACACCATCAGTAACTAGAATTTCATTTAATCGATCAATTTTTCGATTAAAATATGATGAATAAACATTTGCAATAGCTTCAACTAATCATCGATGACCCTATTCTTTTTTTTTTGAAAGATTCATTAATATAAGTTAGACAAATAGAAACTAAATTTACTAATCCACATGTATATTGATGTAAAAATATATTAGGATCATCGAGAGTTTCTTTGTAAAAATCAATAAAATAATGCGATGGTGCATAATCAATAAAATCTTGACATAAATTTATAGCATCATGTGCAATGGCTGACGTACTAAATAATGAAATCTTCGATATATGAAAACGAATTGAATGAAAGATTAGTTCATATTTGATTATCAAATATTTTTTTCTAATCCAATAAAACGTTTTGCTAATTCTTTATTAGAAGTTTTCATTTTCAATGAGTCGTCAGAAGATGTCATCGTCATTTTAGCAAAATGTTTTATGAAGTATGCACGACGCGCATAAAATGAAGATGACAAAAGAAAGAAAGACAAATAGATTTGCATCGTCATACAAGCAGATAGAAAAATAAAAATGTTTGTTTTTTTTTTCTAGAATAATTACTTTGTAGTGTCTTTATCGAAAAAAATATTTGACTACAATTGACTAAGATTTTTTCCATAATATCGATAGATCAAAAGGTTTGCAAGATATTTATTTATTTTATTCTCAATTCATTAAAATATTTACTGTTTTTTTTTCTAAGCTATGATTACTATCGTCGGGTACTATCACGGATAACAGCACGGTTTTTGTGGAGTGATAGATGGGGAGGGTGTCTCCTCTTCCCAACCATACCCTCAAGCTTTGCCAGTTTGTGGAGAATACCTTCAATGGTATACCTATGAAATTAAAAAAAATGTTTGGTTAATTATTGACTGAGTTATTAATTAATTAAATATTTTGGGTTGAGGAGCATTTTTTAAATACTTTTCAGTATTTCATATGAATGCTAGATTTAGTTCATTCTGATGTAGTTTTGTAGTAATCCTATGCAAAAAAATCTTAAATATGACTTTGCATATAACCTGAAATTTTCTTGGTCGACCGAGTTATGGCTTTCACAAGTTACATGATCTTTCGGACTCCCGTCCCGACCACTATAAAATTTCGAAAAATTTTCTTATAAAGAGTTTTGATCTGATTCTTTTTTAGTTTGATAGAAGAATAAAAACTGTATATATTCGAAAATTTTTGCAATGATTGAATGAGTATTTGCAGAGAAATTGTGACTTTTCTGGAAAAAAACTGCTTTTGGAGGTCTGTACAGCCTGTCAACTTTTTCAAGCGAATAAAATAATGATGACAGACTAGAAACCAGAGGTTCAAAGAGGGCACTAACGCTACTATTCTACCCAAGCCTGATCCGCCTGTCATAGGTACAGGCCACGATTTTCAGACCAATGTCAATCACAGGTCCAAGAAGATTGTTGGCCTGTCACTTACGCTGGTCTGAAAACCGTGGCTTGTGCCTATAACAAACAGGTTAAACCCGAATAGGATAGTAGCCCCCGTGCTCTCTTTGAACCTATGATTTCTAGTCTGTCATCATTATTTTATTCGCTTGAAAAAGTTGACAGGCCTCCAGAATGTGGCCTGGCTGAATCTCTGGTAGGTTCCTATGTTGGTTTTCCTCGTAAGAGTGTTAGCTATACAAAGAAAAAATGTTCACTGTGTGAAACTAGAATACTGTTAGTATAGACAAGGTTTTTAAGCTTTTTTGTGAAAAGTTTCATGCACTGCTTATATGGTGGTATATGGCATTGATTCAGTCTTCCAATGTGTAGTAGAGTGACCAATAGTTTATTGAATTTTTTTCGTGACGTCTTGATATTTACCGTTTTAATGATGCTTTTATTTCATTTAAATGCATGTTCAATAATTTTATTTCAGGACAATGCTTTTCTTGTCCGTGTGACGATTTTAGATAGAAGAAGATTTAGCGCTGATGGAACTACGCTTTATTATATTTCTTCGTATCAAGAATCGCATCGCTTCCATACAAAACATATGCTTATATACTTATCCAACAGAGAGAAGGAAAGAATATGAAAGGAAAGAATGATAAGGACAGAAAATAACATAAGATCATATATGGGAAGAAATAGATATAAGGACAAAGTATAAGGACGAAAATATCAAATCAATACGGTCATTATGTCATACAGTGTACTCAAGCGGGAGCGTTACAGTCCGAAATGTCCTTTTCTGGTTGATCATTTGTATTTGTATTTAGAAAGTTTAGAAATTTTCATGTTCTGTTTTTCGAGAAGAAGAATTGCCAGAATGATCTCCCATTGAAAATGTAACTTCTATCGTCGTCTATTGATATTAAACGTGGAATTTTACAGACAAGAAAAATTTGATATTATACGAGACTTTTCAAATCTGCAAATTTATATGCCGTGGTTTTTTTATTCATCTTTTTAAAGCTATTTTTTCAAAAGAATTTCGGAATAAACTCCGTGTTTTGTAGAACTCTTTTACAACGCGAAAACTGTCAAAATATTGTTTATCAATATGTTTCTCTTTAGCAATAGTCATAAGGTCAACTCAAAATTAAAAAAATACTATCAATACTTATTAAATAAAAGATGCGAACGATGGCGATTAAAATTAGCTGAATATCGATTTAGGGTGAAACATATTCCAGGGAAGAAGAACAATATGGCAGATCATCTTCCAAGATCATCAGTGGAAGCAGCTGAGGAAGATATTGAAGACAGAATCTAATATACATCAACATCTACACAAACAGATTCATCTTTCTCAACATTAGATAATAATTCAATTCCATTAAAACTAACAACAGGAGTTACTAGAGCTCAAGCCAAGTTACAACAACAAACAATGGCAATACCATCCATTACATCAATGGATGAAAAAAGTAATGAGCTCATCCCAGAAAGGAAAGTAGCGACGGATAAAGAACCGATAGCAAAGCTATCAGACGAAAATCCAAACAAGATCATTTCATTTGATATGGATGACTTAAGAAAATGTCTAGAAGAAGACAAGACCATACAAGAAATAAAAAACAACATTAAGAATAAAAAACATTATTTTATTGAAAATGGAATATTATATAGAAGAAAACAACCACCAGTGCCATACGTGCCAGACGGACGAATACATGCTGACATATTAAAAATTTATCATGCTACACCTACTAATGGAGCTCATTTTGGACGTGGCAAAACAACAAGAAAAATTCAAGAACGTTGTTACTGGCTAACAATGATAGCAGATATTAGAAATCATTTAAATTCATGTTTACCATGTGCACAAAACAATTATCGTCGTCAAAAATTACCAGGAAAATTAAAACCAATACCACCACCAGAAGGAATATGGAAATTATTAAGTCTGGATTTTCATGGTCCAATAACACCAACATCAGAACAAGGAAACAGATACATTATATCTCATACAGATGTATTATCAAAATTTGTTATTACAAAAGCCGTTCGAGATGGTTCAACAACAACAGAAGTGAAATTCCTTATAAATGATGTTATATTAAAATATGGAACTCCCACATGAATTTTGACTGATATTGGTACTCATTTTACTTCTCAAGTTATGAACAAATTATTTGAAAATCTGGGAGTTACTCATTTATATTCTACGGTGTGTCACTCACCGACAAATGGACAAATCGAACGATTTAATGCTACAATGGATGGAAAAATTGCCACTTTATGTGATGAACGACGTACAAATTGGGATGAAGTATTACAACTTGTTACGTTTAATTATAACACATCAATACATGTAACAACAGAACAAACACAATTTGAAATGATGTATGGACGACAAGCTACTCTTCCATTCGGTCAACAAAATGAAATTATTTCGCTCACACAAGATCCAGAGCATAGTCAAAAAATTAGAATATTTCTGAAAAAAATAGTACATGAAGCTCGAAACAATATTATTAAAAATCAACAACAATATAAGGCTCGATATGATTTAAATAGACAAGATTTGTTGTTAAAAGCCAATGATTTAGTTTTAGTAAAAACAAGAAACATTAGAAACAAATTTGATATACGATATGAAGGTCCATTTAAAATTATTAAACAATTAGGTAGTAAAACATTCATTGTTCAACATGTAAAAAAATTAACATTAACAAGACAAGTGACAATGGATGTTATCGTTCCATTGGTGAAACGATGGAACTTAATTCAATAAACACATCCCTAAAAGGAAAGATGTGGGACATGATGTTATAATTAGTAAAGTATAAACATCAGGAAAAGTGAAAAAAAAAGAAAAAGAAGAGAAAATTATTCATTAAATTAAATAAAAATGATTGAGTTGGATTCAGCAGTCCGTGCCGGGGAGACAGAATTTCACCTTCTCACTGGCAAGGAGGGGCTGTCTAACTTAAACATTCCCTTTATTTTAATTTAATTTATTTTATATATTTTATTCATGTTATAAATACTTCATACGAAATGACTCATCATCGAATCATAGTGCACATTAACCGAGGCACATTTACAGTTGTAGCCAGACTGCTTAGTGCGGAGAGTGATGCACATGGTACAAGTTAACAACTTTACTATGATCAAAGCAAAAACATGATATATACACATATACCACATCAAAGGACATATTCATTTAGATCAACAATACCATCTGATATAATCGCAACATCATTATCAAAATCAATGTGTGGACACACATATCTAATATGGGAGAGGACGAATGTTAGCGGTGACTCACTGTCATCCTCCTTGACGTCTTTCTATCTGTTTTCTTTCTTTCTTTCTTTCTTTCTTTTTCACCGTTATCGTTGTTGTTATTCCTTGTCTTTTCTCTTTTGTGTTGTCCATCTATATATATGTACAACATGTTAAAGACATTTTAGAAAAGAATATAAATAAATAAAGTAAACGTAAGCTCGTCGTTTACGAGCTAACATACATCTTTCTAGTTCCAATATGAACCAGTCTAAACAAGTTGCCTAGAAAATAAGATTAAAGTAAATGGAACTATTTGAAGAGTTCACACAGGTCTACACCAGGAATAGTACTACTTTCTCAAAAATGAACAAGTCATGAGCAACACAAATAATGCTTCAGACTGGTCCGTATCACTATTAAAAGTAGTCCAGATCAGTCGGATATTTAGTATTGCTAGCTCGATCGTTCGAATCCACCTATAACTATCTATCTTTCCGGCCTTTTTGTTTCACTAACTAGTCTGGACAGTATGAATAGACAAAACACAGTAGTCATGACGGGGTATGAGCACATACTAGACTAGTCCATGTTTAGTTACAGGCCGTTCCTCGTCAACACGACCAGCATTGGTGAATCACAAGTTACTTCAGACTAGACCACATGGTAGTGCAGATACTTGCAACTACTCATTTCTGGCGTCCCTTGTTATTTTCTGCTCGCCTGACCTGCAACATATACATAACAGACATATATATTTCAACCATCAATATTTTATTAAAATTAAAACTTGCGAAAAACACAGAAGAAATGAAGCAGAAGCTAGTTGATAACATAAGAACAGCGAACAAACTACACAGATATATCATACAAGCAAAATAACAAATTAAAAAGGTGAAAGCAGGAACCTAACTACTTCATACAGTACAACGATGATGATAATATTTTCCCGAAAAGTCCAATTTCTGCCATCGATGACTGCTGCCATTTTTCTGAAAAGTAAAAAAACAGTATATTAATTCAATTATAATGAAGCACAAGAAATAATAAACACACGAAGGATATACACGCAATAACGCAAAACATCAATGGCATTTATTCGATACATTATCACAGGCTAACTATATTAAAAACAAATTACCTGCTATAAAGATCCTCCGCACCCTCAAATATCCATCCCCTCTCAGAACAAAGACACAAAGCTATCCTACGGTCCATGCAAACAAAACAAACGAACAACTCAATAACGCAGCTTTCTTCAAATATTCACAACAATTGCACGCAAAGATCGCGCCTTCATTTCATGATCGATGAACACAAAACAAATGAAGAATTCCTATAAAGATTACACTCCCAAATTCTCCACAATTCAAAGCTAAGATTTCGAGTTCATTCACTGACCGCCGAACACGAGACACATGAAGAATTCAAACCAAGATTATATTCCAATATTCTCCTCGTTTCCAAGCTCAGATTTCGAGCTCATTTCAGGATCGATGAACAAAAGACAAACGCAGAATTGATAACAATATTTTATTGAAATATTCTCCTCAATTCCAAGCTAAGATTTCCAGTTTCTCTCATCATCGATGAATACAAGACAAATGAACAATTCATAGTAACATTATATTCCAATATTCTCCTCAATTCCAACCTACGATTTCGACTTCACTTCATGACCGCCGAACACAAGACAAATAAAGAATTGATAACAATATTTTATTGAAATATTCTCCACAATTCCAAGCTAAGACTTCGAGTCCATTTCATGATCCACGAATACAAGACAAATGAAGAATTCATATCAAGAATGTATTCCAATATTCTCCTCTATTTCAAGCTACGATTTCCAGTTCAGTTCATCATCGAAGACCCGAAGAGAAATGGAGAATTCATAGTAACATTATACTCCAATATTTTCCTCAATTCCAGGCTACGATTTCCAGTTCACTTCATCACCGATGAACAGAAGAGAAATGGAGAATTCATACAAAGATTATATTCCAATATTCTCATGAATTCAAAGCTAAGACTTTGATTTCATTTCATGACCGATGAACACAAGACAAATTGAGAATTCATACTAACATTTTTTTCAAATATTTTCCTCACTTCGCAGCAAAGATTTTGAGTTCAGTTCATCATCGTTGAACAGAACACAAATAAAGCATTCATAATAAAATTATATTCCAATATTCTCCGCAATTCCAAGATCGGCTTTCAGCTCACTCGATCATCGACGAACACAAGACAAATTAATTATTGAGAGTCAGATTTGATCTAAATATTCTCCTCAATTCCAAGCTAAGATTTCCAGTTCATTTCATGATCGATGAACAGAAGACAAATGAACAATTGATCAAAAGATTATATTCCAATATTCTCATGAATTCCAACGGAAGATTTCGAGGTCATTTTATGATCGATCGATACAAGAGAAATGAACAATTCATAAGAAGATTATATTCCAATATTCTCCTCACTTCCAAGCAAAGATTTCGAGTCCGTTTCACCATGGATGAACTAAAGGCAAATGGAGAAATCATACGAAGATTATATTCCAATATTCTCCCGAATTCCCACCTATGGTTGCGAGTATATTTCACGAGCGATGAATACAAGACAAATGAATCATTCGCAACAAGACTTTATTTAAAATTTCTCCTGAACTCCAAGCTACGATTTCGAGTTCA